CAAGACGGCTCTGGGTGGCCACGGAGCCTCCCCAGGAAGACCACCAGGAGGCCGCGGCCGTTCGAAATCTAGAAATTCGGCGTTGTCTGCCATCTCGCTTTTTCGCTTTCGGCGGCCTCCCGAGGCCTCCAGACAGCTCCAAGAAGGCCCCCGAGGGCCCCGAGAGAAGCCCGAACGAGCCCCGAGACGGCCCCATCAGCGCCCAAGAGCGCCCCAAGAACGCCTCTAAAAGGGCCCCAAGAGGCGATTCGGGCGTTGGCAAACCTGGGTTTAGTGGAACCTGGGTTTGTGATTTGTACCGGGGGCGCCCCCCCGTCCCATTTCCACGAACTGGAACTGCCGTCACCCGAAAAAACACCAGTTACGGCAAACCTGGGGGACCTTGGGCCAGGGGGCCACCCCGAGAATCCTGGGGGCACCTTGGGCCAGGGGTACTTCTAGCAACACCCGAACTGGGGGGCGCCCCCCCGCCCCGTCCCACGAACCGGAACAGCCGTCACCCGAGAGAACACCAGCTCTACAGCAGGCCTGGTTTAGTGAATCTGGCCAACTGGGGGGCCCCAGGGGAATACCACTAACCGGGTCCCCTTACCCAGGGTCCCGGCTATACCCGAGCGATGTTTGGAAAAACAGGGCTAGGATCGGGATAAATCGCTCCAGAGCGTTCCGGAGCGCTCTCAGAGCGTTCGGGAACGCTCTGGAGCGGCCGCGGCGCCCAATACATCCTCCAAACCCGCCGCCGATTCTCAGAGATTTCGAGTTATCCCGATCCGATTTTGTCCCGATCATCGCGTCGTTTTATTTGGGCCCCCGGGGGGGGGGGGCGCCGGTCCGCAAGTCGCCTGCGACGCCGGCCGCGTGGGCAGAGAGCCCTGGAAGCCGGGGGCCGCCGTCGACCCGCCCGCGGACGTCGCCGCGCGGTCGATGCTCCAGGTTGGCAGAGCAAGACTATGGCCAGAAGCATGACCCATACACTCTGCGAAATGCTTAAGAAATCATGGGTTCAGAAATTCATAGTCTCAGAATTTGAACACAAACCCCCAATTTCTACTAAAAAGTTTGGTTTTCCATTGAAGCAAGAATAATCAAGACTCTGGCCGAAACCTCACGTTTTCTTGAGCATCGCCTAGGGTGTACGACCACCCTGCGGGTGAGAAAGAGGTCGGGGGGGAGGGGGCCAGCAGTGGGCAACAATGGTGATTGTTGTTCTGGCGATGCCAGTGGAGATCGATGCGTCGCCGCTCGCTCTTGGAGAACCATACAGCACAGGATGTGGATGTGCCTGACGATTTGCATTTGCATTTGCTTATCGATATGCATGTCAATATGCTTTTCGATCTGCATTTCGATATGCATTTCGATGTGCATCTCACTATCGGTTTCACGATCGATCCCACGATCGATATCACGATCGACCTTACTATCGATCTCACTCGATCGATCACACGATCGGTCTCACTCGATCGATTTCAATATCGATATCACCCTCGATCGATCCAACTATCAATCTCACTGTCGATACCATTCCATGGATCTCGCTATCGATCGATAGCACTATCGATCTCACTATCGATATCACGATCGATCTCTCTATCGATCTCACTCGATTGATATAACGATCGATTTTCCCCAATCGATCTCACCACAGATCCCACTATCGCTCTCAGTATCGGTCCAACAATCGAGCTTACCATCGATCTCACTCGATCAATCTCACTATCGATTTCACAATCGATCTTACAATCGATCTCACTATCGGTCTCACTACCGTTTTCGCACCAGCGGGACACCAGGACACCAGCGGGACACCGGCGGGACACCGGCGGGACACCGCGCGGCACCGTTTGCATGTCGGGAAACATTTGGTCCGGCCGCGCCTCAGCCACAGGAGACTTACCAGGACACCAGCGGTGCGCCGGTGGGACACCGGCGGGGCACCGCGCGGCCCCGTTTGCCGGGGGGGGGAACTCATGTGGCCCGGCCGCGCCGCAGCCACGGGAGACGTTTCCTCTCGCCCGACCCCGCGCAGCTGCGCCCCGCCCGCGCGCACGGCACGCGCAGGCACGAGGCCGAAGCCGGTTTCCCGGTGGGGGGCTCTCCGTTCCACTAGGCGGAGGAGGAGGAGGAGGAGGAGGAGGAGGAGGAGGTAACCTCCGAACCTTCCAAAGTGTAGGGTCTGCTCCATGAATCTCGTCATTTTGTTTCACAAACTGCCGTTTCTCTTTCATGAGTTAGTGAGGGGGTCTCCTACAGCGACCATTAGCAGGCCATGGCTGTTAACTTCTTGGCCCGCGGAATGAAAACACAAAAAACAGATTTGACAGACGAAGCGCGTTGAAATTTTCAAAATTCCGCCGAGCACTGATTTTTGCACGGCCTGTTTTGCCGTCGGCTGCTTTGCAGTATTCAGAATTCCACGGGGCATTGACTTTTGCCAGGCATGTTTTGCCATGGGGCGGCGTGTCATCGATTCAAAAGCGGGGAACCCCAGGCGATGCTCATTGGTACAACGCCCAGAGGGTTTCCGAAAAAAACAACGCACATGTTGGATTTGGCGCGCGGCGTACGCGAGTGAGAAAGCAGCCGCTTCTCTAGGGCAGCGCGCGCCTTGAGGGGACGCAAGCTTCAACGTGCGAGCGCGTCCACCGCGCAAGCGCAAACGCTACGAACGACGGGAAAAATCGTCCGCTGCACGGCGATGCACACACCTGTCGCGACATCACTCGAGAGCGTCGCAATCACATTTATTTCCGTCCAACTTTGAAGACGGCGCTGCGTAACCAAAGCGCGCGCGGGCGCGCCAAAATCGAAGCAAACACGCACGCGCACACGCACGCACGCGCACACACACACATACACACACACACACGCGCGCACACACACACACACGCACGTGCACGTAGCGAGCCAATCTTTTGAGCTGCGACGGGTACAAGCTAGACAAGGGCGCGGCTAACATAATTGACGGCAGCGCTTGCCTCCACGGCGCGTCTCGACTCGGCAGGACGCCGCGTGCCAGGACCGAACCGCCGATGGATCACCGATGCCTCCGGCCGAAGCGCACTGCGTGCAGCACGGATGCGCCTCGAGTAGCGGAAGATCGCGCCTCTCTCCGTGCGAAGTGCGCCTACAGTAGGATCGTGCGGCGTCGGCGCGAACACAGGCTGCTGACGCCGCGTTGTTCGTGCAGCTTTGGTTCAGTCGTCGCCCCGGTTGTGCAGCGTTTAGAGGCCTCCGAGATGGGGTCGGAGTACATGGTGTCGGAGGATCGCGCCGCATCGGCGATGCATCGGCGATGCATCAGCGATGCATCGGCGATGCATCGGCGATGCACCGACGATGCATCGCCGACGTCGGCTACGCATCGGCGACGTCGGCGTGGAGAAACTCGGGCTCCGCATCGAGCCGCATCGGCGATGTATCGCCGATGCGGCGCGACCCTCCGACCCCATCTACTCCGACCCCATTTGGGAGGCCTAGAGCGTTGGCTTCTGTCGGGCCCAGTGACGTCGCCGTGTCCCTTGGTGCTTCCACGTCGCAGAATTTGACCTCGAATGCCTTCGCCAGTGCCGCCGGCGCGCCCACGCCGCGTGAGCCTGCCGTGTCGTCGCCTCCCTCGGCGCTCCCGCGCAGTCCCTCCTGGAAAGTCGGGAGCGGCCAAGAGGGGGGTGTCCTCCTGCTCCTCCTCCTCCTCCTCCTCCTCCTCCTCCTCCTCCTCCTCCTCCTCCTCCTCCTCCTCCTACTCCTCCCTCGTGCTCCTTCTTCTCCCCCTCCCCCTCCTCCTCCTCCTCCTCCTCCTCCTCCTCCTCCTCCTCCTCCTGCTAAAGAGGGGGGGGTCCTCCTGCTAAAGAGGGGGGGGTGCAAATCATGGCCGGCGGCATGTGCGCGGCCCCAGAGGGGGGGGCCAGGTACGTATCGAAACAGGAAGAGGCGCCATGAAACCTGGGGAGATATCGTGGCCCCCGCCATGAGATCCACCCCCCCCTGGTCATCACCCCCCTCTTTGCCGCCCCCGAGAAAGGGGCTACTTCTCGCTCGGGCCAGGCCGCGCGGCGCGGGCACCTTCTCGCGCCCCCTACGGGTTGCCACAGCTCGATCGGCGCCGCACCCTCCGAATCATTGCCCGGCCCTCCCCCCTCCCTCCACGCGCACACACTCACACTCACACACACGCACACGCACACGCACACGCACACGCACACACACACACACACACACGCACGCACACGCACACGCACACGCACACGCACACGCACACGCACACGCACACGCACACGCACACGCACACGCACACGCACGCACGAAAACACAAACACAGACACACACAAACTTGTTTGGCGTCGCGACATCTTGTCGACTCTTGCGAATCGACGCTAAGTTGACGCTAATCGACGCGAAATCGACGCTACATCGACGCTAGCCGACGCTACATCGGCGCTCCCACCGACTCTCAGACGCTGTTCGACGCGACGCCGAAAACGGAATCGAGAGGGGTACACCCGGCTCGCATGACTGGCCACCGAAGGAGACGCCAACACGGTAATTACGGTGCACACGAGCCGTCCGCAGAGACCGTTGACCCTGAAGGGCCTGTCCTCGTCCTCCTCCTCGTCCTCGTCCTCCTCCTCCTCCTCGTCCTCGTCCTCCTCCTCCTCCTCCTTGTCCTCCTCCGCCTCCTCCTCCTCCTCGTCCTCCTCCTCCTCCTCCTCCTCCTCCTCTTATTATTATTATTATTATTAGTAGTAGTATTGTTGTGATGCTTGTTTTTATGTTTATTCTTCTTCTTCTTAATATCATTATTCTGAATATGTTTCTTCTTCTTCTTCCTCCTCCTCCTCCTCCTCCTCCTCCTCCTCCTCCTCCTCCTACCTCCTCCTCCTCCTCCTCCCCTCCTCCTCCCCTCCTCCTCCTCCTCCTCCTCCCCCTCCTCCTCACTCCTCCCCTCCTTCCTCCTTCCGCCTCCTCCTCCTCCTCCTCCTCCCCCCCTTCCGGCCAGCGGTCCTGCGAGGGCCACCGGTCCCCGGGCCCTCGGGGCGCCGCGGGCACCGCCGCGCATCGCAGCCCTGCGGCGGGTTTTGCAGAGGTGCTCGCGTTGCGGCTGCCACGACCATGGACACCAAGGGCTCCTAAGTTCGCGCTTCGCGCTGCGCGAAGCGCGAAGCGCGAATAGCTTCGCGCTCTCGCGCCGCCCCCCAAGGGGGAGAAGAGGAGGACGAGGAGGAGGAGGAGAAGGAACGAGGACCGCGAAGCGCGAAGCGCGAATAACTTCGCGCCCTCGAGGGAGCCCTTGGGACACCCTCACAGTGCTATCATCGAATTAAGCATGTGATTCAAATGTCGGGCAACTGTCGTGGGAATGGTCAAAACCTGTGTTTGACATGTCTGAGACAATTCTAACACATGTTCTGGACACCTGGGAATTGTTTGGCAACCTGCTTCCTCTCCATTGATCGTCCTCCACACTTCTCGCGTCGGGAGAGGTACCCATGCCGTTGCCCGCGCCCCGATTTTTGCACTTTGTGGCCTCCTCGGACGCCCTCGTCGCCACCGCCGGGGTCGGATCGAGATGCTGGTCAGAACGCACCCCGGGAGAGGGGAGTAGCGGTATTGGCACGGCTGGTTTTCCCCACGACGGGGGGTGTTTGGCCGTGTTCGGCCGCTGCTGGGATCCGCGCGGAAATACTAAAAAGATCGGGCGGGACTATCAATGGATGCCGAGGCGGATTAAGTCTGGCCTGACCTAACTTACATGTGCGTCACAAATGCCTCAGGCGGTTTACGGGAATTCTGGATCCGGTCATCTATCGCCCAAGCCACTGTCCGAACTGTAAACAACTTCTCAGCTAGGTCAAACCAGATATCCGCCACCGTGCCTCCTGGCACGCTGGTGCGTGGAGGAATGCCAAGACCTGTCTGGTAGGATACTTTGAATTCGGATAAAGGACCCCATCCCCCTAATCGCGGACTGTCGCGTGCATCCCCCCTACTCACCGAAGCCACATCCTTTGTGCCCGCTCGAGGATGGTGCACCTCCAACATGGCAGTTCATGCATAGTCCCCCATCCCACGCGTGCCCGCTCGAGGAATGTGCACTTCCCGCATGGCAACCACTGCCTGAATCATCATGCCATACGCGCGTTTTCGCGGAACGTGCAATCCCCGCAAAGCAACTGCTGCCCAGCCACCCCTGCCACGCGTACCCGCCCGAGGATGGTGCGGTTCCCGCATGACAACGAATGCCTGAACCCTCATTCCATGCGCGCCTGTTCGAAGACTGCGCCATTCCCGTTTGGCTGCTCCATCGTAGACGTTCCGTTCACGCGCACCCGCTCAAGGATCATGCACGCCACGCGTTCCCAGGCACCGCTCCCAAGCGCCCCAGGGCCGTCGAAGCCACGGTCCCTCGTTAAAAAACAACGGATACGCGCCCCGAGATTACAAAACCACCCTCGCAGGCAACCAAAGACACCACGATGGCCCAAAATGCCTCGACGACGGCACGATGTGGCCCCGAGACGTCCGAAGATTGTCTGAAGACGGCCCAGAATGCCTCCACAAGGGCCCCAAATTAGCCTGGCGAAGGACCCAACCATATGCAGCTGTGAGTGCCGCAGTTGGGGCTACGAACCGCATGAAACGGGTGCGCCGACTTGCGCGGCGGGGTAAACAACGACAACGAAGACGACAGGCCGAATTACGAAAGACTGAGCGTGGGTGAGTCTGAACGCCAGTGAGTCTGAGTGTGAATGAGTCTGCGCGCGATTGAGTATGGTTGCACGACTGCGAGCGTGGTCGCGTATGCCGGACCCTGAGCACGAGTGATCTACGCCTGACCCTGAGCGCGCGTGACACTGGGCGTGGCCGCCTCAGGAAGCTTTCCCTGGAACCCCGACAACAACGCCCGCACGCCGCGACGCCTGTGTCGGCACGCTCCTCACGAGGATCGCGCCCGTTTCCTTCCCGTTGTTTTGTCTCCCCGTTTTTGCCCGCGCACGCCCACGTCCACGGCTGCAGGCGCGGCGCCGCACGGAGTCCCCGCGACGCGCGTTGGTCGCCCCGGAGGGGCCCCGGTGACGCGCGCGGGTCGTCCGCTGCGCGGAGCAGAGAGAGCTAGCTGGCTGGCTGTTAACGGGCAAGCCGCTGGGCAGAGCGCCGACGGGGGCGAGCGAGGCTCTGGGCAGAGCGCAGCGCGGAACTCCCGCGACGCGCGCTGGTCGCCCCGAGAGGATCCCAACGACGCGCGCGGGTCGCTCGCGGCGCGAGGCCAATTAGTCAGACCGTCGAGAGACGGCGAGGCTCGGGCAGGCCGCTCCTCAGGTCAAGCCTCGCGGATAAACTCAATGGAGCCCAGCTCACTGGAGAAAAAAACAAAAAGAAAAAAAAAAACCAAAAAAAAAAAAATAAAAAAAAAAAAAAAAAAAAAAATAAGAAAAAAAAAAAAGAAAAAGATAAAACGAACAAAAAAAAAAAAAGCACCAAACACAAAAATAAAAAAGCTCCGCTCCCTGGCGAAGGCCGCCGCATCCCTCCTGCACCGTTTCGTGCGCGTGGCAAACTGCTCCAGCTGTTTCCGCAAGCCTTCTGGCGGCCTTGCCAGAAAGAACTCTATGCAAACTGCGCCACTGGGACCTGAGGAGGGCTCCGTAGTGGGGTCACGAAGCGTGTAAGGGGTGTGCCAAAGTGGGGCGGTGGGCGGCGGCGCAATGCGAGCTGCGCCAGTGAGACCTTAGGTGGAGCTCCCTGTGGGGCCACGAAGCGTGTGAAGGGTGTGCCAAAACGGGGCGGCGGCGCCATGCGAGCTGCGCCATTGGGGCCTTAGGCGGAGCTCCCTATGGGGCCACGAACAATTCGAGGTGTGTCACAAAATGGGGTGGCGGCGCCATGCGAGCTGCGCCGCTGGGACCTTAGAGGTGGAATCCCCTGTTGGGCTACGAAACGTGTGACGGGTGTGCCAAAATGGGGCGGCGGCGCCATGCGAGCTGCGCCATTGGGGTTTTAGGTGGAGCACCCTATGGGGCAACGAAACATGTGAGAGATGTGCCGAAATTGGGCGGCGGCACCATGCGGCCTGTGCCACTGGGGCCGTCCGTGCCAAAATGGAGCGGCGGCGCCATGCGAGCTGCGCCACTGGGAGCTTAGTTCAAGCTCCCTATAGGGCCACTCCACGTGAGAGGGGTGTGCCAAAAATGGGGCGGCGGCGCCATGCGAGCTGCGCCACTGGGGCTTTAGATGGAGGCCCTTATTGGGGCCACGAAACGTGTGAGAGGTGTGCCAAAATGGGGCGGCGGCGCCATGCGAGCTGCGCCACTGGGGCCACGAAACGTGCGAGGGGTGTGCCAAAATGGGGTATCGGCGCCATGCGAGTTGCGTCAGTGAGACCTCAGGGGGGGCGCCCTACGGGGCCAGGAAACGTGCGAATGGGACCTTAGGTGGAACTCCATATGCGGCCACAAAACGTGTGAGCGGAGTGCCAAAATGGGGCGGCGGCACCATGCGAGCTGCGCCACTGGGACGTTAGTTCGAGCTCCCTATGGGGCCACGAAGCATGCGAGGCTACACGAGCTGCCCCACTGGGACCTTAGGTGGAGCTCCCTATGGGGCCACGACGCGTGTGAGGGGTGTGCCAAAATGGGGCGCCGGCGCCATGCGAGCTGCGCCACTGGGGTCTTAGGTGGAGCTTCCTATTCGGGCCACGACGCGTGTGAGGGTTGTGCCAAAATGGGGTGGCGGCGCCATGCGAGCTGCGCCACTGGACCTTAGGTGCAGTTTCCTATGGGGCCACGAAACGTGTGAGGGATGTGCCAAAATGGGGCGGGGGCGCCATGCGAGCTGCGCCACTGGGGCCTTAGGTGGGGCTCCCTATGGGGCCACGAAACGCTGTCCTGGGTGGGTGAATCGCCGGGATGAGAGAGGAGGAGAGGAGAGGAACGCGGGGCACCGTCTCTTCAAAACGAGGACGCAACACCACAGGATGGTTGTGGAAAAAAACCAAAAACCTCAAGACGGCCCAACATGTCCCACGATGGCTGAAGAGGCAAACAAGACTGCTCAAGGGGGTCCCATGGAAACCACTATGGCCTCAACAAGCTGTTCGACGGCGCCAGACGGCGCCAAGACGGCCCAACGGCGGTCCCCGAGTACGTTACGACGGCCCGATGAAGGCCCCAAGCTGCTCCAAAAACTGCATCACATGAAACCCACACTTTTTTAGTCGGCGGGTCGAGAGCCGGCCTCTTCCAGTTAAGAGCTAGGCGGGGCGGGCGAAGCACTAAGTTGGGAGACAGGGCGCGGGCGGGCGGGGCCTCAACGTGAAACCCACACACAAAACAACTGAAGTAAACCCCACGACAACTATACGAAGATGAGACCCGAGACGGCGGACCTGCTAATGTTCCGCACGGCGGCGGCACTCCGCCCTGCAATAAGTGGCGCCAGCATCCAAACCGAAAACGTAAACGAGGCAGGACTGTTGGAGGCACGCATCTTTGACTTCCACAGACCAAACCCAGTAGGGTAGACGGGCCAATGGCACGCAGAAGCCAGCGCGGCAACCAGCGCGAATGCAGAAGCGCACGAAGATACCCAAAGCAGGGCAGCGCAGGCAGTCCACAATAAGAGACTACACAATGTCATCGCTGCTCGGGAAGAACGGCTTCGTAGTCCACTGCTCGGGAGGGACGTGTTCGCATTCCATCCCTCAGACCTGCAGCCAGAAAATTATCCTGGCGAAGGACCCAACCGTATGAAGTTGTGGGTACCGCAATTGTGAATATCTTCTTCGGTGAAGCTCCCTATTGGGCCACGAAGCGCTGCGCTGGGCGGGGAGGAACGCATGCGGGCGGTAGCACTGGGGCCGTCGGTGACGCTCCCTATGAGGCCACGAAGCGCTGCACTGGGCGAGTGAAAATACCAAATTCGGCGCGTGGGACGCACGCGGGCGGTCCCATTGGGGGCTTCGGTGGAGCCCCCATGGGGCCGCGAAGCGTTGTAAAGGGTGGGCGAGAATGCCAAATTGGGTGTGGGGGACGCATGCGGGCAGCCCCACTAAGGGCTTCGGTGGGGCTC